ACAAATAAAAAAATGAAAGATCGCAACTAACTCTTTAGTTAATTAGCAAAATTTGTTTATTACCTAGATATGCCAAAAAATTCTATAATTAAATTCTGTAATACACTAAGTATAATTTATTCATCTACTTATGAATTAAATGAGGCAGAATTCCGTGCTTGAAGAGCAATATTGCGAGTATGTGGGTGCACTGATATAATACCATATCCTAAAGCTAATAATAGAAAAGAATTCTGGAGTCAATCAGATAACCCAGCTGCTGACAAAGCTAATTTGAAAATGCTTTATAAACTTGGATGCTTAAAAGCTGATTTAAAAGATTCAGAGGGTTCGAATAATATTATTACTAATCATAAGCATGAAGATATTTTTTAGAATAGCTTTCGAAGTGTCTTAACATCTAATAAACATAGAGAGAATGGAAAAACACAAGCCTTATCTATTATAGCAAACCAATTTGAATATTTACTATTACATGAAAAACTTTAGGTTAGATAGAAATTAGCATTATAATTATAATCAAACCTTGCTAAATTTAACCTTTCTAAATACAATTTTTAATTCTGGCCTAAAGATATATTTATTTTTTTTATTGCTTTTTAAATGCAAACTATCAAAAATCCGGCCTTTATAAATTGCATTTAGAAAGGTTCAACTTACTAACAAATCACTTGCATCATAACTAGATAAGTATGAATGTGATAAATTTGGTATGAAAACATTTTCAGTTATATAAACCTAGTGTACCACAAATTAAAGAACCAAAGAAATGTATTGAAAAAATGGCTGAAATTAAGGAAAAACAATTTTTAGCATTTTTTCAAGATAAAAATAATGTTGTACAAAGTTCTTATAAAATCGATACAAAAACTAGAATTCTTATCTTTTATATGCAAAATCAAAAACAAGCTCTATGGACAAGGTTCAATGAAGAGTACCTGAATGGAATGCATCAAATTTCTTTTATATCTAGATTAGCTGACTGTAATCATATTCGGTATTGTGAAGATTTGAGAGGGCTCTGCATTATCTATAATGAATACAGGTTTGAAGTCTTTAAAAGTTTGTTAGCTCTTATACAACAAGTATTTACAACAAAAGAAACATTGGTAAGTTACAAAAAAAATATCTCAGAATAAAGGGAACAGATATTTTCACACCTAATTTTAGTATCTCCACACCTGTTAATTTATAATAATACCATGATATATGTTCCAAATACTCAACTCAAAAATTGAGTATAATTAACATTTTGTTTTGCTATAACTAATACACTTTGTTTAGTATGCATACGATCAAAAAATGTGGAAATACCAAAATTGGATGTAGAAATACCTGTTTCCTAAATATAGAATAAATAATAGTAAAAAAATAAAAAATAAAAAATAAAAAAAATAAAAAAAATAAAAAGAAAAATATAAAAAAATTTTTAGTTGTATCAACTTATCTAAATGAAATAAATTATTGTCATATAAAAGGATCCTATTATATCACGGATTAAGAACTTATGCTGCCACTTAAAAAGAAACTTTGAGCGCCATTTGAGGGTTAAGTTAGATGAAAAATTGTTATATAATAACTGCATCAATCACTATTTGCTATTTGCTTTTAAAGAATGTTAAAATACATATGATTTGTGCTGTCAAGATTGTTCAGAATTTTCTAATTTTTTTATTTTATAAAAAATCATGTTAGTAATATATATCATTCCCAATTATTAGAAATGCAAGAAAAACTAAAATACTTTCTTGCACATCATATCCGAAAACATTATTTGAATACACAAAACAAATCATTATTAGCAAGCCTCGATTCAGATAGTGCTATTATGATCGCAGATTATAGATGCAAATTCTTTTAAAAACTGCATGAGAAACTAAACAAGAGTTTTTTGGTAAAAGAGGTTGGACACTATATATAATTTTGGTAATAACTAAAGAGGATAATAATAGTGTAGAAGATGATAATGCAGAGAATAATAGTGTAAAGAATGATAGTATAGAGGATAATATTGTAGGTTTAAATATTAGTGCTTATGACCACTGGTCCACAGATACGAAACAAGATGCTTGGTTCACAGCATCTTGTTTCGAAGCTGTATTTAACAATATTGAAAAAAAACTAAAATGGGTAAAGATAATTTCAGACAATGGACCACATTACCATAATAGCGAGTTAATGGTAATTGTGGGCTATTGGTTTGATTGGTACAATGTTGAGGTCTATGAATGGTTATTTTTGGAGCCCAGCAAAGCAAAGACTACCATTGACTCACATCACACTGCAGTAAGTCTTTATTTATTTACAAAAATAAGTATAATTTTATAATAAATAATAATATATACTTTTACTCTCATTTTTCAAGATATCTTATGCTATTAAATGATATGTTCGTGTCAGATATGAAGTAATAGAAGGATTCGATATTGTAACTGCTGCATATAATTTAGCAGACACACACTTGGCAAACATTTAACCTAACCGAAATCAAGGAAAAAATAGAAATTTAGTTGTTGAAAATAAAGTAAAAACAAAACTACGTGTAGAAACTATTACTGAAATTTCTAAGCATAATTACTGGAAATGGCCAATTGCAGATCCATTGGCAGGTTATATTGTGGCACGTCTCTTGCCTCACTTCAAAACTCCAGCTCATTTTTCTTCCAATGCAATTACTAGCTTGTACAATAAAGAACTTCATCATTCAGAACCAAAAGTCTCAACATATACTGAATCACAATCAAATTGGACAATGGTTTTACCAAAACCTCAGAATAAGGAAAATATAAAATATATAACTTATATCAATATTCATGCAAATTTTGTATACAGAAGGCCAAACCATAATTGAATTAGATGATACTGTGATGATAGGTAATGAAAACATCTTTATTATAAAATAATTTTTATTATATAAATAAATCTAAGATATAAAAACAATTCTATAGATAATAATATGGAGGGTAAGTATTATAGCTGATAAATTTATCATTTTCTCATTAAATAACAAATATCGAAAATATAGAAGAAAGTACTTGCATGATCATAGAAGACACACCCACTATTACCTTTCTTTGAAATAAAGGATAGGCATTGTGTGAAAATTTTGCATATGGTAAATGAGGTGGGGGAAACAGATGTCAGATATGGTTAAAAAAATGCTTGAACAAATGTTCTTGCAAAGGAATATTCATGCTAAGGACCAGATGATGGCTACTGATATGTATAATAGGTTGAAAGAATTTGCAAATAATGGTGAGTTAGAGCAAGATGAAGTGCCAAAAGTCTTAACAATCCAAAGATAGATATTATAATATCATAAAATGTTTTTGGAGCAGGCCACAAGAACTGCATTAGATCCTAATTTGGATAATGGCATTTCAACAGGTAGTATATAATTGCAAAGACGAATAATATAGAATTAGACCAAAAAAAGTTTTATTTTTGTTTATTGGCTTTAATCTAATTTATTTATATTTACTTACCCAATTTTTTTTTTGGATCTTTTTTTTTCTTTTGTTTCAAGCTGATTCGTTCGTAACTACCTACTTTTTTTTAGCTTTTTGGAGCTATAAAAATAGAACAAAAGGTATATGTGTTCTATTGAACATTTTTATAGAACTTAAAAAGATAAGTACTTTGTGAATTTTCCTATTTGAAATTGTGATCTATGCAAATCAATACCTATTTTGGACTAGAAATGCCACTTCACATCAAAGTAAACTTTTTAGCAATTGAACGTTGCACCCTAAAACTTGTTCATATTATTACTCACGATCTAGTGTGTTAGAATATGGTGGAATTATTTTTATATTAGTAGTTAGAAATCATGTTAGCTTTGAACCTAAAAAAGATTATTCAATATTAATTAATAATTATCTGCATCATTATTTATTAATAAATTGATTCTCATTTGGAAACAGATTTTCAATTAAATTTATAAAATATGTTTTCAAAAATATATTTTATAATATCTCCAGCAAATCGCTAATTCTTCATGATGATCACTTGTACCAAGTTTTCTTTAAAAACAATTGCATTTTCTATAATATTTTACTAAGTAAACCTATTTTAGCTGCCTAAGTAAAATTGTTCTCAGGATTATGGATTTTTAAAAAAAAACTCTTTCTGCTTATTACTTGTATACAAAATTTTGTCTAAATATTTTTCACATTTTTCTCAATTTACACAAAATTTTATTATGTCAATAACTCTTTCATGCTTAAGTAAACTTGTTCAGCTACCAATTTTATATATATTTATAAAGTATCAAGTCTCTATCTTTTACTGTTCTCAAAATATTCAATTTATAAAGATAGACAGACAAAACTCTGTCCTCTTCCCAAAACTTTGCTCTTCCTGGCACATTGGATTGGAAAACATCCTTCTATACTATAACAGGATTTGTAGAGCATATCTCTAGCTTCAAAACAAGCTATAGTATATCAAATTTGACCTGATATTGGCTACTATAGAACTCAAACTATCAAAACTCCTTTTTTTGTTTTTTTTTTATTCTTTAAATTTACAAAAAGTTCTTTTCTAGTTTACCTCTATCAAAATCGTTTTTGTGTAACCTTCAGACCTGTTTCTGACCTATTTACACCTGACCATATTTATAACATAATTATACCTTTCTTAGTAAAATTAACCTATAAATAATTTATACAAAATAACTACTGCATTTACTATCTATTCTATAATCACTTAGTAACATTACCTAATTATTGCCTAATTGTGCAACTTTTTGTAACACATGACCTGTATAACACATGACTTGTGTAATATGTGACTTGTGAAACTTTAGATCTTATAGGTTACACAAGGTTATACAAGCCTCAGTAGCTATAACAATACCCTCAGAAATATATATATCTTTGCAATAACTATCTAATATATTATTATTCTATATCTCCAAATATTACTAAGACTTTGTAATCTGCATCCCTAAAGAAGTATAATCACAAGATGCCTACCTTAACTGATGCATAACCAGATGATCTAGATCTTGATTATTTCTATACAAACCACCTAAAAAGTTTCAGAATTAGAATATATAAAGAAACATCTAATACACCTTGTCCTATTTCTAATAACAGGAAATCTAACAGTTGTATTAGGACTGTGACATTTATTATATAATATTTTTTATTAAGGGGGTTACCTCCCTCCCCTCCATATTATATCATATTATATATAAAATATATATATGATATTATATCCAGCTACCCTCCTCCTCCTCTAAAAATATACGTAATATCTGTCAGCACCCTTACTACCTAACTTACAGGAGCTGTCAAGAGCAGTCATTACTTTGAAGCTTTAGCAACAACTTCTACTGTAACTTGCTTTTGTAGCAAGTACCATACACATTTTGTATTTGTTCAAAACCTTATATATCAAAGAAACAAAATAACCAAAGTAATTAAAAAACTCAATGACAAGAAATCTTTAGCAACATCTATTGCAGACTCTACCCTGTTTATTCCTTCATCACCAACATCTACACCAATACCCACTATGCACCATCACACTTGTGCAAAATATAACTTATCAATTAATTGCAAAATTATCAACAATCAACATTACTTAGTACAAGATGCAATTTTAGATGATGAAAAAAGTTATCATAAATCTTACACAAATACTACACCTGACCTATAACAAGGCTCTTCTAAAAGTTGTCAATTCTTTTCACAACTCAGACAGACCCTTGCTGTTAACCAGCCTTACAATCCTTTAAACTTTTTAACCTCAGAACTTAGACCTTTAATATCTACTACTAAAACAACTGATAACCAATACTATAATCCTTTAAACTCTTTAATCTCTGAACTTAGACCTCCAACATCTACTACCAAATCAACTAATGATAACAACAAAATGGATATCGATGATAATAATATCAACCAGAACCAAACCCACAATAGTGAACAAGATCAACCTGGCTATAATAACAATAACGATTTAAACATCTCTAAGAATAATTCGTCTAATATTCAAACTAATTTGTCTAATACAACTGATAATACATTGCAGCAATCACAAACAAACCAACTCAACTCTAACCTAGACTCAAATACTAATCAAAACAAGCCAATATTTGACTGGTTAGCTAACTATTCAGTAACACAAAAAATGGAAAAAAATAACAAGCTTCAAACAGAACTTGCTACAAAAATTTTTCATTTTCTTAAACTACACTTATTTGACTATTATCTTGGCAATGAAATTAAAGCAGCAACAGCAGATCGCAAAGTACTTAAAGTGAGTTTTTACCAAATTATTTGCAAAATAGCAGAAGAAAGGCTGCAATTACTAATAGATTTTATTCAAAAACACAATTCAGATGTCAACAAAGCATTTACTATTCAATTCTCTGTTTTAGAAGAAATACTCAAAAAACTTATTTTAGTTTTTACAACAGTTCTTTTTACCAAACTTAACTATCCAGAAATTTTTGCTTCACCAGCCACAGTTTCACCTTACAAGTCTTAGAATCATTTACAATTCTGTATTAACCACGCTCATATATATCTATATCTTTCTAACAATTATCAAACTATTAATTATATCAAATTTTTTGAAAATATACATCTACAACCCAAGCATTTCAAAATCACTTTACAGGTCATTGACTATGACAAAGAGGACAATTACCTCAAAATATTCATGGATAGCAGATTCAATATCAACCTCAATTACAATATTCCTAAAACTCTCTTTTTTGAAAAACTTAATATATTATCTCTCAAAAATTCTCTTAAACATTTTGTTTTTTTTTTTTTTTAAGGTGAAGTTTTGCCTTTATTTTATTAATATTTTGTATTGAGAATCTACTATGAGTTTCTCTGGCCAGAGCCAAATTACAAAAATTTTACAAGAATGAGACTCAGACTACCAGAAGCTATCTAAACTAGAA